ATAAGAAAAATTCAAAAGCTGAGGTTATCAACCTTTAATAAACAGTTCTTATTGGTGTTAGGAATTTCGAAATAATACAAAAATGTACATGTACACAAAGTATAATGATGGGTCTCTGAATGATTTTCATTTTCTAATTCTAGGAGGGTGGACTGACCCTAGGGGTCCTGAGTAAAATGTCAAGCAGATTATCACTAACACACTTTTGACGCAGGTCATATTGTCATCATTTCCAGTCTCAGGATGAGGATGACTTCAAGGGGTCATAACCTTTATACCATTTAATGAATAATGACTCGAGGGACAATATTAAATATGGTTAAGGGGAGAGTTTTCAACCATTTTCAAGATACAATGTATATGATCATTTGAAGTTTTAGGGGTCGGGAATGACCTCGGGGGGGGGGGGGGGGGTCATGATCCCATATATCCTATTTATTGTGTTATAATACAAAGATGACTTAGGGGCTTTTGCTCTAATGACAGCTATTTTATTGTTTCTGGTTCCAAAGATCAAGTGGAATGACCCCAGGGACTTGCTTCATTGTATAATTGTGGCATTCCAATGATCTTTGACCCTTTTCCACCTATAGGCCCCTAACCATTTTCATTTCCGATTATTTTACCCCGTTCTAGTCGCCCGTGTGGCGCAGTGGTTAGAACGTCTGCTCTAGAGTCGTGGAGTAAGGAGTTGATCCTTAAGTCGCGGGTTCGAATCCACTGTGGGACGTGGGGACCAGTTCTTCGAATGAGACTGTATATACCGAGGTCCCTAGTTGTTGGCACAAAAAAGATCCCTCAATGCTTAATGGCCCTCAGTGTCGACCATAGGTGATGGCGTCTCCATATGAGCGAAAAATTCTCGAGAAGGACGTTAAACAACAAACAAATCCCGTTCTATATTCATAATGTACTTACCGCCTGTTATAGGTACTGTTAACTTGATAGAATAATAAATCCATTTAAAACACACACTAAATATTAATAATTCCAGTGGTAATAATGATGTACATACACCATGCGCAAAACAATAATGATAACGGTAAAAGTAGTACTCGCAGTGTGACGTAATTCCACGCACGAGTCTAGAAATTTTCCAAAAAGGTGTACATTTGTAAAATTTATGTTATAATTACATACAATTTTTTTTTCATAAGTTTGTGTTAAATCTATTTTAAATATGACAGAAAAAACGGGTGAATCATGGATGGGGGTTGATTTTTGACAAAGTTGATTGGGTCAAGATTTGGAAAGGGGTTCTCCGAGTCCTACCCAAATACTGATAAAAATTTGCACAAGTTGTAATTTTGGCATCTAATTTTTTTTAAGTTCATCAAAAAAGCTATGCACTAAAATAATAATATTTGTTGTTTTGACGATAAATTCAAGAAGTTCCGATTATGGGTAGAAAATTAACCACCACCCCCTTTTTTTACACAAATCTTTCAAAAATTCTCTCTTTATCAGAATTTACATTATTAGGTAATATCAGACTGGTAATGAAATATTTACATGCGCGGATCTGGGGGGGGGGGGGTTCCGGAATCTATATACGAAAGCAACTAAAAGCTAGTGACCTTGGACCCCCCCCCCCCGAAAACACGGACCCCTGTTAAGTTGGTACGAAAAGTTATACATATGAAGCTTAAAAAGTGAGCAGCCAAACCCCCCCTCTCCCCCCCCCCCCCCCCACCCGTCACTTGACAAGCCAAAAAAATTTTTTTTTTCAAAACTCAAAATACTCAAATATCCTATTTCGTGGGGGTGGGGTGGGGTGGGGGTGGGTTCCAACTTCTTTCAGTACCCCAATTTTATATGTACACTACTACATTACCTTTATATGACTATAATGCAACAAAAAGTGGGGGAGGGGGGGTGGGGGGAAACAACCCTTTCAAGAACATTTTCAATAGTAAAAAGTTATGTTTCGAAAAAAGTGTGGGGGGGAGCCCTCCCCCCCCCCCGATGCTACGTGCCTGCATTTAGAGGCAAACACATTAGTGCGGGTATTACTCTCTTATGACAGCATCTATTTTTTGTTTGTTTGTTTGTTTTTTTTTGCTTCTCAGGAAATTGGGGGCTGGAAATTTTTTTGATTGAGGTGTGGACCCCCCCCCCCCGGAAAAATTCCTGGATCTGTGCATGTAACTGAATGTAGTGTCGACAACGGGAGATAACTCTTCAGAATGTGAAATTCGTCTATTGTGGCATCCGATGATCTTTGATCCTTTCTAAACTTTAACCTAACCATTTGCATTTCGGTTTATTTTACCCCAATCTATACTTAAACTTGTACTTACCGACTATCATAGGTCCTGTCAACTTCATGAAATATAATCCAATTAAAACACAAAATGAATTAATTCCTACTGATATACATGTAATGATGTGCACCATCTAAAAATAATAATGGTAAAACTAGTACTAGTAGGGTGACGCAAGCCCAATGTGATGTAGAAATTTTCAAAAAGGTGTTCACATTCATGTACAGTACAAGAACAAATTTTAAATTATCATAACAAACGATGTTTTAACATAACTTTGCCATCTAGGCCTATTTCCAAAAACGGGCAAAGGGGGGGGGGAGGGGGTGACAAAATTGATTGGGTTTGGCTTTTCAAGAAGGTTTTTGCCTAATCAAATACCAAAAAAAAAAGTTTGCACATTTTGATAAATTCATTAAAAACGCTTTGTACTAAAGTAGTATTATTTGTTGTTTAGAAAATAAATTTAAAAAGTTCAATTATGGGCCAAAAATTTATATCCCCCCTTTTATCAAAACCTAATTTACATCATTAATTAAATTCTGTTATTTCAGACTGGTAATGAATTAAGTAAAGAAAATACCTATAAGAGGCTCATAGGTCACATGGTCACCTGAGCATTTTATGCTCGATTTGACAAATACATGTACTGTGTAAATTATAGAATTATTTTGACTTTTTCCTTGGTAGGCCCAATATGAAGGAGTGTGCATTTAGAGGCAAACACCTTAGTGCGGGTATTACTGTCTCATGACAGCATCTAGTATTTACATTCTTTTTCTGATGAGTTGCAATGAAATTTGAAGAAAACGAACAGTATTCAAGCTCAAAGTTCATTTAGACAATACAAATCGGGAGAAGAGCTAACATGGACCTCCAAAAACATCAGAGGTGGGATCAGGTGCCATGGAGGAGTGAGCATCCCCTTCCGACCGATCACATCCGCCGTGTTTTCCTTGTCATGATCGAAAAAAAACGGAAATATCCGTAGACAATTCAGTATGTAAATAATGACCTTAAAATTAGTATGAAAAATGTCAGTCAGCAATTGACTTTATGATAGATTGTATTTGCTGACAAGGTCATTGCAACAAATTATGTCATTCAATTGTCTTTTTTAAAAACAAAACAGTTTGTACTTCAGTTTTGACATCAAAGTACAATACTATGACGTAACAATAGAGATATTCATGCTTATTCATGGTAGTTCGTGAGAAAATGAACTGTTTTCTAATTTGTAAAGAATCATTGGGGGAAATGTTAATATAACGTTATGACGTAACACGAGTAGAGGATTCCTGGAAATGATAACTTCCTCAAGCAATGGCCTTAATTAACATTGTAAATTTCTGTAGACTTGTGTCATACTAACAACGTATTTTCAAGTTTTTTAAAAGTATCAGATCTAAGAAAAATGCCTTGTGAACGAGAAACACCTTGATGTGTAATGTTATTTTCAAGACCAATAAAAGTTTAATTGCTTCCATTTAAAATAAGATGGAAGCGCTCATCGAGGAGAGCTTATAGTTAGTAACCGAATCATAACACATCATAATACAAGAAGCCACATCCTCCTGGGTGAAAAGTAGTTTATTATTTTGCTTTTTCATTATAACTATTGGCCAAAACAACTTGTATGATATAAAATTACTCAGCATTTTTGCATCCTAAGATATACACTGTAGGTACATTGAGTGCATAAGTTATACATTGACATAAGGGGCGGAATTAATTAGTATATGTTTAATTAAAATATGAGTACATATTACAAATGGATTATTTCTTTAATCATAAAGTCTAGTATTTTTATAAGGATTACCGAGTAGAGAAGAAAAAATATGTTGAGGAGTTTCTAATCTTTATTTTATACATCTCATCCCTATTTCTTTAAAACTTGTATGACAAATCAAATCTTGCTTGCAAGATGACAAAAATGATCTTTCCAAGAAAGTCTGGAAAACATTAAAGGAATAATTATCTATAATTGGTGATTTTTCTGCTTGTTTATAAATTTAAGTAGACTCCTCTGAACATTTAACATAATGTCACTGCGTTTCTCAATTACATAGTGATAATTTGGAGTCATTGAAATACGTCTTACTGATCATATCTTATATAGTTTGAAAAAAATATACTCCCGGAAAAACATTCACCCAATACGCTGAAAATGCTTTCCTTCAACTTAGCTTGAGAAATATTTAAAATATGGTTAAAATATCATTTCCTAATGGTTTACATCTTTACGTTTATGTGAATATGCAAATTATATCAATCATATAGAAAAGTGTATACGTTTATGTGTATTACTGCGGTACTTTCATGTTTATTACTGCGGTACTTTCATGTTTATTACTGCGGTACTTTCATGTTTATTTTGTACTTAGGAAGAATGACCATCCCACAAAATTATACATGGCAGATATCCACATTAATTCTGAAAAAAAAGATTCAAGTTAGTAAACACTCTTATAAATGTTGAACTTGTTCTCATATAGGCTAGACCCACTGACCAATGATGAGATTCGTTAAGGACAAACCTTTTTCCTGTCACTTATCATCTTATAACATCATACTTCCGTCATTATAAGATGTCAAAATAAGATCTGTAAAAATAAATAAAAATCTTAATGTGATAACAATTTAGTTGTCAAACAGTTCTCTGGCAGAAAACATCCATTTACCAAAAAGACTGATTAAATTGTGGACCGTTTCAAGCATCTGAAAAGTACAAGAGATATTCTTTAACTTAAAATGGCAAACCAGTCTATTCCAAACTCTACGTTTGTTGGATTAAACAATACAGGGAACACGACATATGATGACTACGATGGAGGGAATGACTATGGTGAGTCGGACTACGGTGGAGATAACTATCATTACCCGGATTACTACTCAGATTTTTACGCTCACACATACGAAATCGCAGGAGAATGGGAAGTTCCAATACGAGGCTATTTAACATTTTTCATAGCTCTCATTACCATATTAACCAACATTTTGCTCATATCTGTTTTCATCTTTCGGAGTTCACGGTCTCCTACTACAATTGTTTTGACATCACTAGCAATATCAGACTCAGTGATATGTATTACAAAATTACCGGAAGCAATTTATTTCAACATGGCCGAAAACTACAAGAATCCCTACATGACTTACCAATGGTGCAAGGCTAATCACGTGCTGTACGTTATTTACCAAATCTGTAGGATGACGTCAAATTGGTTTACAGCTATGCTTGGTGTACAACGATTGCTTGCTGTAGCTTTGCCTTTCAAATACAGCAAATTATGTAGTAATGTAGCGACATCTGTAGAAATTGCAGTTATAGTTTTTGTTGCATTCTTGCTTAATCTCTACGAAGCCCTCGGAATATACATTGCAGAACTTCCAATTTATACAAGTAGGTATTATAATGAGTCTCTGCCTTCAGGTTGCATAAGAGATACTTCGCTCGGTCTGACCAAAGCTTTTGGCGATCCCACAAAGTCCAAAATGATATTTTTCATTTTTTCTGGACTCCTTTATCGTGTACTTCCGGTTATTATCCTCATCTTCACCACTGTGACATTGGCCTACTTTTTATTAAAACGACAGAAAATGGGAGCTGCTGTTGCGCAAAGAAAAGCCCAGATTCAGAGGATGACAGGACTGATTTTTCTTATTCTGGTGGTATTTCTAGTTGCCGAGATTCAAGATGGCATTGCATACTTTATCTATGCAGCTGAGCTAGCTCGCAACTCAAAAAGATCAATTTTGTCAAAAGAAGCTGACATTATGTGGGACACGATTTCCACACTTTTGTCTTTAATTAGTTACGCATGCAATTTCTGGATATTTTTCTTCATGAGTCAGCAATTTCGTTCGGCTCTACTGGATATATTTAAATCCGGAGTCCGGAGGGCTCACGTCTACTTAAATTTGGAAGCTTCGGAAGATGGAAGCAGTGCTAATGCCCAAAGTACAAGCATAACGAGCAAAGATGTTAAAAGTACTCTGGTTTAACTTTTATTAGCATGCATTTGCCAAACCAATACGACTTTTTTCTTAGTTTTCATTTGACACTTGCATAGGCCAGTTTTAACGGGACCAATATCATCAATCCAAATGATTTATAATAAATTAAGAGTCGCGTACAGCATAGGTCGATGGATTGATACCAATGAACTAGATTATTAAGATAATCTTTTGTGATATTCAGTGTGCTCAATTCATATGATAGTTATTTAACGATTGTGTATAATATATTTAATGTAGTCTGCGTTTCATGAAGACTTGGAAGATTATACATTGAAGCTTATTTAAGATTTTATGAGAAAAGCAAGTGTGGAATGTAAATATTTTAACATATTTGTCATTTATGAATTGTTTTAATTGCCCCCGCGCTTTATTTTTTTCATCTTCATTTTTTTCTTCTAAAATTGCTTTAGGGACAGATAAAGCATTGTCTTGATTGGTTTTCCCCTAAAATAATTTAGTCACTGCGATGTTTTTCATACATATTCAACAACCAACTACGACTCAGATATTTTCATCGTTAAGAATCTTAGTCTCTTCAGCAAAGGATGATAATTCAAGATGCTTTCTTTTCCCATATACTAGTAATTGTTACTTCATTTTTAATAGGTGTTTCAATACAAGGTGAAGTGCGCCATAGGTTAAAGCCCGTTAAAATTTTGTATTTTTCTTTCAACATTTTTGTAAAAAAAAAAAACTGTTCTAGAACTCTATCAATGTTTTTCTGGACATAGTACATATATTTTATGCTAGCTTATAGAAATATTGCATTTGTTTTACTTTTCAAGATTACCCCCTTCTCTCTCTCTCTGGATAAATATATTGCGGATCTATTATTTAGTGTCTATTTAATAAAATTGTTATTATAAACTGTTAAAACTTTCAAAGTGCCCATGTAAAAGATCGCCACTAATCCCTTACACGATGTTCTTATTTCCGGTATAAATAAATGATGCGAGTAATACACAAGTGTATTATTAGTCAAAAGGCGTGTACCATTATTAATCTAGAAATATCTATGAACTTGAGATGAAAGAATTATTTGTCATGGCTTACCACTTATGATAGAAGACAAAGTGGAACATCCCTTCGCACATGCGCGTTTGTCTACACTTATCACTGTCATTGAACTTTGATTTTTTTTAACTCAAGGAACATCTTTGTCTGGACACCAGGACACTGTTCCCAAAATAAATTTAAAAAAAATTAATGAAACCCTATCGTAAGATCTAGATCAACATTACCAACTTCAGATTTTACGTGCGGCATCTAAAATACCGGTAGATCTTTTCACAAAACTATGTTAGGTATGACAAATCGTGAAGATTTATGTCGTTTCGCATGTAAAAAAAAATCATCTATTACTTTGCTACAATTTTGTTATTATATTTTTGTTTGATGTTTAAACAATTGTGCAAATTCCATTGGTTATCGGGCAGATCTTACACTTAACGGTATTTATTAGGGCCCAGCACGAAATGCAGGAGTCCTAAAAAAAAAATAAAATTGTCCCTATAGATCTAGCTCTCTTGACCTCTTTATGTCTGTCAACATTTTTATTGTGACACTATAACTCTATAATGTAACATTTTCAAATTTTGTACAGAAGTAGTATACTGTAAGATGTTTGTACATATACAATTTTGGAATCATGTCACTTTGTTTGTCTTCTGTCTTTATTTATAACTGAATATATTTTGGTCATAACTCGATTACTGAAACAATTTTTATCACAACTATTTCAAGCATACAAAAGGTTTTGACCATAAGAGAAAAACGCATATCAATTTTGTGATGTGTCCACTTATTCTTTCGTACATGTATTCATATTATAACTCAAATAGTTCTTGGCATACGAGGGTTGTCCCAAAAAGTCGTGGACAATGTTCATAACTTTGTAAACATTCAACCAATACTAATAAAATTTTCGAATAAATGGCGACAGAGGATTGTTGTAATTTTCAAAGTATTGCTGGAGTCGAGTTTGCTGCAAATGACGTCGTCAAACGCGTTCGCGGCGCACGGGAATATACTAAAATTGTTTTGAATGTTGTTTGTCCTCTTCAGAGACGGAAAACGATATAGAGGCAACATTAGACACTAGAACGTTCGGAGAGAAGTTTATAAAATGGCACAAGAGATTCAAGGACACTATTTTACCTCCGCACCGAAAATAGTTAGGCCTTTTAGCATGATAAAAAGTAGAGTACAGACGGTGAGGAACGTTATAGACCACGATGGACGTCAAACTTTGTGTATTCTCTGCTTTTTACAATGTAAGGCAATCTTTCGAGGACTGAATTTGACTTTAATAAAAAAAAAGATTATGGACAGTGGTGAATTTTAATGATCCCTCGTGTTAAGTACACGGACAGTACTTTTAAAAAAAACATTATCATGACGTTGTAAGCGATGTAAATTACGCTTGCTTTCTGCGCCGACATACACTTACATATTTTCTTTATTTCTGCATTAGGCATATTTTTTAATTATATATGTTATAATTTTATGATCTTTAAATGTTACTTTTTATTATAACAAGAAAATTTATTTGAATTCCTTTTGTGGTATACTGTGTTCTAAAAATAAATTGATGGAGTACAGTTCTCACTTCTATATGACAACCTTAGGCGATGTTTCTTCTAAATGTTTCAGTTTTTATTTAATATATGCATTCAAAAACACGACTTTCTAGTAACGTGAGATTTTGAAGTTATCATGGAAAAGGGATATTTTGTTTTATCTGCAACAAAAACTGATTTTTTGTTGAAAGACCTGGTTTCAAAACACTACATAGATGTTAATACACAGTTGTTACGGAACGGATTGCTTCACTCAGAGAAAATGAACTTTATTTAAAAAATCTTCGACAGGATAAATTCGTTATGAAGACACTTAGAGGGGTAATACGGAAATATATGGGGTCCTTCAAAATATGCATTTTTTCAAGGACCCCATATATTTCCGTATTACTGCATATTGGGTTCGGTTACGCCTCGCCCAACATGCATTTTTTCAAGGACTCCATATATTTCCGTATTACCCCTCTAAGTGTCTACAAAACTAATATTATATATATATATATATATATATATATATATATATATATATATATATATATATATATATATATATATATATATAAAGCACTAAAGTACGAAAGCCTATTAGGATCAAACTACGGTAAAAAAAATTTAAAAGGCGTTATAACGCCTTTTCAAAAGGCGTTATAACGCGAAAAAAGGCGTAATAACGCCTTTTGAAAAGGCGTTATAACGCGGAAATAGGCGTAATAACGCAAATAAAGGCGCAATTACGCCTTTCCAAAAGGCGCTATAACGCGAAAAAAGGCGTAATTACACCTTTCCAAAAGGCGTTATTACGCCTTTCCAAAAGGTGTTATTACGCCTTTCCAAAGGGCGTTGTTATGCTTTTGAAGAGCCATTATTATGTCTTTGACAGACCCGTGATTTGGAAGGGGGGGGGGCAGCCTCCCATAAAATTGACAAGCAAACAAAAAAAACAAGAACCCCCCCCCCCCCCCCAAATATTAAACTGACTAAAGGGGAATCTTTTTCTAACTTTTCGGTAAAACTTTTTTTAAATGCAACGACTTGCCCGAGTTTAACCATACCGCAACAAAATGTTAAGGGACCAAGCAATCAATAAATGATTTTTTTTATATTTAAACTATAGCAAGACTATTCTCCCAAAAAGTGGGGGGGGGGGGGACACCCCCCCCCCTCGCATTCGTACTACCGGCCTGTTTGTTTGAAAAGGAGTTATATCCAAAAATGGAAAGGCGTTATTTTAAAATAATAAATATATGAAAGATTGAACCAAAGCCACCTTTATTTATGCAATATTTAGTTTATAGTTTTAATATTAAAAATTATATTATAAATTATAGTATTTTACATATTCCTGCATATCTCGCAGACAGCTGTTTGCATGCGTATTAAGAGAAGTCAACACTCTACTTTTAAAAATCCAGGATATAGGCAGAGCCAGCTTTGGGCCTTGCTAGCCATGTATTAAAAATTCACGTCAAATTTGAAATATTTTTCTCTCCTCTTGGAAAAAAAACAGGCAAACTTTTTGCATAGGTATAATGAGCAATTAGCCTTCAACCAAATTTCTGAAATCCATGCACCTTGGTAAAGGTGTCTGGCTTCAGAGAAGGACTAAGTTGGTTTAACACTGAAAATATTTTACACTTTTAAAAATCTTTTTTCCTGGAAATCTAATTATTATCAGCCCCCAGGGTGGGCAAAATAAGTCATGTATTGAAAAATAATAGGTGTAATAACGCCTTTTGGAAAGGCGTATTAACGCCTTTTGGAAAGGCGTAATAACGCCTTTTAAAAAGGCGTAATAACGCCTTTTGGAAAGGCGTAATAACGCCTTTTGGAAAGGCGTAATTACGCCTTTTTAAAAGGCGTAATAACGCCTTTTTTCGCGTTATAACACCTTTTGTTAAGGCGTAAGTACGCCTTTATTTGCGTTATTACGCCTTTTCCGCGTTATAACGCCTTTTCAAAAGCGTTATTATGCCTATTTTCGAGTTATAACGCCTTTTAAAAAGGCGTTATAACGCCTTTAAAATTTTTTTTTACCGTCGTTTAATCCTAATAGGCTTTCGTACTAAAGAAATCAACAAATTAACACTGTATATCCCACGTGTCGGATCTATTTAATAGATACAAGGTCAACGATGGAAACCCATACAAAGCACCAAAAATAACCAACGACACGAACAATAGAAATTGCCAAATTTTCGGGACGCCCTGTCACTCATTTGGAGAAATGATGTACAGTTTATTCATGAGGTTGCTCCCACGTGATTTACTTCTCATTAATATTCATAAGATTCTGCATAGACTCGAAATATTCCATTTCTTTAAATTTTTATTATAAAACCTGCAAGCACAGTTTGTTTTGTTTTTTTAAGCCTCCGTCATAGTTATTTGGGCAGAATTTTGGGTTATTAATTGTTGACAACTCATGAAACCACCTGTTTTGGTAATAAGTAGGTCACACTGATGCAAGAAATTACCGTTTTCAAATTAAAAAGGCGGTCGTAACTCTTCATGAAATGATAAATCATCTGTAATTTATAAAAATAGGCATTCGTCTGCAC